GTAGTAACGCCCTGTGGTATGAGCTATACCGTGAGCTCGCCGATTTTTAGCATTCTACTTGCAATTTTCTATAATAGGTTCAACAAATGTAAGTATGTAAATATGGATTTGTATGTTTACATATCAAAATATAACGTAATTGTAATACCTCAGCATCGGAAGTACGCCAATACTCCACAAGTTGTTCCCACTGGCTTGGCACAATGTCATAGGACATCATCCTTCAGATTAGGATCAGAGCTTCTAGCTTTAAATACTTAGCCTTAAGCTTGTTTCTGTGCATCCTTCCATATGCTGTTGCACGTTTTTCCATGCAAATTGGCTTGTACTCCTCTGGACATATATTCAATTGTCCTATAAAAACAATTTCAAAGTTTAAGGCTAAGTATAACACAAATTTGGAATTCGAATTTGTGACAAAATATATACTTTTTACCTTCACATCCTTCCAATAGCATCAACAATATCATCAAGGCACATTTGTTCCAGCCAAGAAAAGTAAGAGGAACAATGTTACCAATTCCGCACATAATGCCAAGTTGAGTAGTTAACTTGGCCACGTTATCCCTATTGGGCAAGTAATTTCCATCAAATTGTAATGTCCAGCTTTTTACCAGTACCCCACTCTTTAATGCCCTTGGCACATCCTCTACCGACGCCTAGTCGAGGTTGATGAAGAACTAACATGACCTGCGATATACAATAATAAACAATATGCAATGGTAATAAACAAATGCAAATTTATAAATAATGTGAATACAAATCAATATCAAATAAACCTGAGGTGGGCTGTGAAGAAGTCGAAGGGTCTGCAAAATACAATGAGAATAAACAAGTTTAATATATATGGCATAAATAAATGTATGTGTGAATAATTTTCATACAAATCAAAGCAAATTTATATACCTGCGGATGGCTCATAAGCTGATGATGATAGCTGATGTGGTGCCACTGATGGTGGACCGCACACGATGTTAGGCGTGGAGGCTGAGTACATGGTAGCTGCTGTGGTGCCACTGATGGTGGTCGATACAGTGGTACTAATGGCCCCGCAGATGGTTGTGGCACTAATGGCCCTCTCCGATGCTGGCCTGATGTGATGCCTCCTCTGATGGTGGTGCTACTGATGTCCTGTTATGTAGCACGTCAGATATCATGCGCCAGAGATGATCAGGCTTCCTCTTCCTTCCCATAATAATCTGCAAGCAATATAACATTAATTGACATTAGAAACATAGACAATGGTTTGTCATCAACTATAATTAGACATTAATTGAACTAATACAATTACAAAGACAAAGTAAATTAAGAAATTGATGATTAACTACAAACCTTGGCCTTAATTGAATTACTAATGTTGATTAAATATCAGCCTATTTGAACATCAACTGTTTCCCTTCTGCGGCTTCCCTCACCCAAACCAACTTTTTCATTATGAAGCATTATATTTTCTTCCAATTGTTGGCTCATGTATGGCTCGATTTGTGGATTAGTCGAACTCATATCAAATAAACCTCTTTGAGACATCTTCACCACGACTTGCCAGTCTGGTTGTAACGGGTCTGCAACATACCAAACTGCTCTGCTTGGGACGCCAAGATGAAAGGTTTATTGGTAATTCGATCATCTCGGTACAACAAATGATTGAAGTTCACCAACCGTGAAATTGGAACATCTTCTTTCTTTCCGTGAATGTTGTCAATCCAATCACCTTAAACAACACATTTTCCTTCTTCTATTGGACTATCGAATCTCAACAATATCTGTCAATTGTCCATAATAGTACACAGACCCACAGACGAGGATTCTTGTCTTTTCGACTAGCATAACTTATGTTATCTGCTTCAAAGTACACACCAATTTTGTGTGGCTCGACGATCATCCATGGCCTTTACTCGATATCAAACCCATTCAGTATTACCGTGTTGAACCTCCTTGCCAGGTTATGAGGACCATTTGCCAATAGAATTAATCTCTTCAGAAAATATGACATCAGTAGTCCTTCGCAAAGTTGGGACCTATTTAACACGAAAATGTAAATTTAAAATGTAGATCGACTTAAGTAACTAGAATCTATAGAGTTAAATACATACATGTTCCTTGAACCAAATGTGAAAAGTTTCAAAATGTTCACGCCGAAGTTGATGATCGTCGACACGAGGCATTTTGAGCTTAAGTACTTCAAGGTGTTTGCTGTGTAGATTGAAATTTTAGCAATACAAAAATTTAGTTGAAAATTCAATAAACATAATAAAATATTGAGTGAGTGACTTAACCTACTTTATGAATGGTTAAACCGCGCTTGTATTGAAAGATGTACGATGAGCTTGTACCCAAGAAGTATTATCAAGATAAAAGCTTGTGTTTTCACCAATAGCATACCCAAATTATCAGCACCACTATAGTTTCCTCACAGGGTCGACTAGATTTGGTTTCCACATCATTGAGATATTGTGCACAAAAATTCATGCATTCTTCCATAAGATATCCTTTAGTAATTGATCCTTAGGATGAGCTCTATTAACGCACGTATTGCTTCAAAGTAAGAAAGATATCTCTCATATTGGATACTTCCATCGAAACTGAATCGCTCTACCCAATAAGGCTCATCAGCTAGATGTATAGGCAAGTGCTCCATTATATCAAAAAAACCTCGAAGGAAATATTTCTCTAGATGACAATGTGTATAGCGATACGATCTTGAATATATTACAAATCCGTCGCATGATTCACTTTTGAACACAATTGTCTAAAGAAATTGCTCAATTCAATCAAGGTTCAATTACATTCTTGGCAACGATCTTCGAATAGCCAATGGAATAAGTTGTGCATCATAATATGACTATCGTGGCTCTTAAGACCCCCAATACTTCTATCATGTGAGCGCACACGACGTGAATATATTGGATGAATACTCGTTGGGAACTCTTACTTCCTTCAACACTTTTAAGAACAAATCTTTCTCATCTTGGTCATCGTGAATTGTGCTGTGGTAAAATATGCTTTATTCGACCTCTTTAACTGCAAATGTAGGAGTTTTCTAATATTCATATCTTGTAAATCACGCCGAGCATTAACACCATCCTTCGATTTCCCTGCAACCCCTAATATTGTCCACAACACATTGTCACAAAACATTCTTCTCTATATGCATCACATCGAGGTTGTGTCTTATTAGATTGTACTCCCAATATGGCAATTCATAAAAGTACTTTTTTCTTCCAACTGTGGGTGCGATGTCCAGCTTTCTGCATTCTCTACCTGTCTCCTATGCCTCTCCATAAGGTCATCCCTCTTGTATTGGGTTAAAATACCCTTAGATTCTAATTGTAGCACATCTCAGTTCCAGACAACAATTTTGGTTTGAGTCTGACTTCCCGACTACCATCAATGATACTTTTCCTTCCGGAATTTATGGCCAGTAGGTCAAAATCCGCGATGACCCAAGTTGATTGGTTTTCTACTATGCTTCAACCAACACGATGTAGTTTCCTTATTGCAACATAGGACATGCTATTCGCTCTATAGTGCTCACCATCCTGACAATTTGCATAGCAGGAAAATCACTAATTGTCCACAGTAAAAGCTGCATGCATTGAAACATTTGATTTGTGATGCATCAAAATGTTGAACACCCCTCATTCCATAGTTCTTTTAACTCCTCAATCAACGGTTGCATATCCACATCAAATCTTGTCACCAGGTCCTTTTGGGCCGTCAATAAGCAACGGCTAAAATTAGAAATGGTTGCTTCATGCACATCCATGGCGGCAAGTTGTATGGATACGAGCAAACAGCCAAGTGCTATGAACTATGTTCATCGTTCTGAATGGGTTAAAACCATCGGATGCTAAGCCAAGCCTTACACTTCGGCAATCATTACTAAAGTCAAGATTCCGACGGTCAAAATCTTTCCATGCAAGGGAGTCAGCAGGATGCCTGAAGACACCATCATCAGTTCATTCCTCTACATGCCATCTCATTAACTTGGCCGTCTGGATGACATAAACAACCTCTGCAACCTTGGCTTTAAAGGAAAATACCTCATTGTTTTGCAGCTATTCGTTTGCCACCTTGTTAGGACCATTGAACCACCCATCACCATTTGATTTCCGTCTAAACTGTTGCATATGACACATTATCAAGATTGGCGTTCTCGTTTCGAAACAACATGTAACTTGGTTGACATGCATCAACGTCTCATACGTGAAGCCCAAATCTTTGTAACCTTTTGAGCTTTATAATATGAGTCCGGAGTTTTCAACACCCAACGGGAACGCCTCATTCAATAACTCAAGCAACATGTCAACAGACTTGTCTGTCCACTGATTAAGCACCTTCAAATGTAAAAGTCGAACAATGTATGACAAAGATGTGAGCTTCTGACAACCCGGATACAATTCACTTTGTGCATCTTGAAGAAGTTTTGAAATACTTTGTAGTCTCTGCATTTGGACCGAGCTGGGGTTCAGATGCATAGGGATCAGGCCCCTATGGGTTCATTACCCTCAACACTTGTACCGGCATGTGGATTTCTCATAGCCCTTTGTATCATTTAATCATATCAACCCCAATGTCTAAATTAGCTAATGTTTCATTTTCTCGATTACATGCAGAATATGTAAGATTCCCCATGATTAATCCAATGTTTGTATTTTTTTTAAAAACCATTCAAAATCAGATGCTCACGTCACCTTCTCGTACAAAATAGTATCGATTCTCGACACTTCCTACACGGACAACTGATCATCGATCCTTCAACCCTATTGGGTAGGCAAACACAAGGAATTCATCAATCCCATTAATGTATTCACTCGAATCCTAATTTGGGGCAAATCAATCTTAATCCATCATCTGTACACATCCCAAAAAATATCTCATCAAACTAACTCTAAATATAATACCTTTAACTCAACCTATTCAAAAAAATACTCAAAACTCATTACTTAAGTTTGTCTAAAAAATACTCAAAACTCATCTATGCTCTTTAACTCAAACCTATTCAAAATTAAATTCTACTCTTTTTTTTTTTATTACCCAAAATCAAGAGTCCTTTAGAGCAAACTCAAAACTCATCTATGTCCGTCACCATTGGCAACCCCTCTAACCACCATCACCAGTCACCACTTTCAACAACTAAGACGAACGAAATTTTTCAAATTTTTTAGAAGAAAAAAAAAAATGAACCACAAAATACAATCTTTTTTTTTTAAATTCAAATGAAGTAAAAAACAAACAGGTGCAGAGTTATAAAAGAAAACCAGAGGGCAGAGGCTTAAGCCCTCCTGGAGTTTGCAGATATCAAGTTTGAAAACCAAAATATAATCAAATACATATATAGGACTATATAAATTCTCAGAAACGACTCATCCCTCTCCAATCAAGATTTCATGGTCAGGTTAACGTGCCTATTTTTCTATAAAAAACAAACAGACACAGATATTTATAAATGATATTAAAAAAGAAGGTTTTATAAGTAAATGAATACAGATATGTTAGGTCTCAGTTTCGATTTTTCACTATTGTTTGGTCTCATTCTCGGTTCTTCACCAAGCCATTCAATATGAGACACCACCCAAAGAAACCACAGTGTGAGAGTTGGAGACCAAACATAATTGAAAAACACACAAAAATAATAAATAAATCAAGCACAATATAATACAAGATTTATTTAATTTTCTCACATCACTAAAAATATAAGCAAGATTTACACCAAAATTAGTCTAGTTAATGGGTCTGGAAGGAGTAAACTATAGTCTCAAGAGGGGTGTGTTCAATGGAAATGAGGGGTAATATGATAAAAATAAATCATTAAATAACTTATTTGAGTGTTCCCAAACCATGCCTTAATACATATTGAATGCCTCTTTATCAAAATAATTTTAATTGTGAAGTTGAGATATTGTTATAATTTTAAAATAAAATTTACAGTATTAAAAAAATAAAATTA